ACTGATAAGTAAAATGTTTTACTTGATATTGTGCCGAGTTAAACGAATAACAATTTCACAAAATAATGATGTTTTAAACTGCATAATTTTAAACGGAAACTTATCGTTCAGCAACCATTTGACTTCAATGAAATTTTCTGTCTCTCCGAAATGTATACGTTGAAGGATTGTCTGGACATATTGTTGAAGATCTAATTTTGATTTTTACCAGGAAATTACTGCATTTTTTTAGCAAATGACAGCGTTGTCTCCCTTATTAAATTATCTGCCATGCATACTGTAGAAATTAGATGAAATTAAACATATAAATATTTCGCACTCCCAATATCTTCAAATATTTTTATGTGCATTTTGTATAAATTTTCAAGTTCACCGTTCAGCAAGACAACCTTATCTATATTTTAATGTATGTAGCAAACTTATAAAGTTCTTTGACATTTCGAAGTCCACAGGTCTTTTTGGTCTTTGTGTCTAGTTTATATGTGAACAGTCCAGACGTTTTGCTCTGTAAACACGGCAGTGGATAGTATGTGGTGCAAAGTTCTCTTTAGAGATAAAATATTTCGTTGTTATCTTGTTTTATCTCTGACCCGATGACAAGACGTTACAAAATACCACAGAATTAGTCTCTTGTCATCGATTTTATATCTAAATATTTTATCTTTTTGATAAAATTGGAAAAGTATGTTATCTTTTATTCTGTTTGTTTACATGCTGTTTTTCATTCATCAAGTTCGTTGTGGATATATCAGGTAGTTTTGTCATCGGCTTTGCGATATTTAATAAAGAATATGTTTTAATGTTAGAGTCTCTTATATAATTCTGTACTTATATACAGAATAGCTCTCTATTTTATGTCTATATTTTGCACTTAATGTAATGTTGTATTATATATAATAGAGAGATGAGACTTGATTTAAATATTGCAATGAATTGAAATATATTCTGGGTTGAATAAACAGTGTGAAGAAAGTGGAATCAAGTATTCATAGCGATACAAGCTTGCTGGAAATGGAATATAAACTAAAATATTTGTATCTATCATTCATGTGGGATCCTTACGTACATGTAGTTTTAAGAAATACACCACTAAAAATGAATAAAACAATAAGTAAAGAAAGGTGTTAAAAATTTAATCAATATTGTATGACTATATACCTACCCCACATTTCTTTTTATTCATATGCAATAAAATTGAGAATGGAAATGGGGAATGTGTCAAAGAGACAACAACCCGACCATAGAGTAGACAACAGCTTATACTTATAAGTCATATATTGGAATTGAGAATATTAGACTACTGTTGTCTTTTGATCGCCACAGTTTTTCTATTTTTTACCATGGCATTGTCATCGACTTATGAGTTTGAATATCCCTTTGGTATCTTCCGCCTCTCTTTTAGTGTGGTATTTGTTTAAAACTTTGCCATCGGTGCATGGGACCATGGAAGTATTATATTGATAATATAATACTTCCATGATGGGACCAAGTTATGGAAGAAAAACTCTGCTATCTGTGATGACTATGTTTCAAGACTCACCTACATGAGACGAATTCAATTTCAATTCAATATTTTATTTAAGATTCGTCTCTCAATAATATATAATACAACATTACATTTAGTGTAAAAATATATAGATTTAAAAGATAGCCATTCTGTACAGAATTATAAGAGACTATAACATTAAAAACATATAGAATTCGTCTATTATAAAACATATTTATAAGAACATTATTTACAGTATAAAACATTTCTACGTCTATTTAACATAAGATAACAGGCTTTGGCACAGCTACGAATCATATTAATATCTGTAAATAAAAACACGAATTTCTGTTTATCATCAAAAGACATAAAATCACTATTAAAATGTGTTGCTTCATCAAATATTTTTTTTTCTAAAATCGTCATATAAAGGACACGATAAAATAACATGGGCTTCATCTTCTAAAATATCTTTACAACTATCACAGACTCGCTCCTCTAAAAGTAATTTTTCAAATCTCCCTGTTTCAATTCTTAGTGGTGCTACACCACATCGAAATTTGGCAAAAGAAGTCCTTTGTGAAAATGACATTGGAATTGTATAATAAGTTTCCGTTTCAAAACTGTTCTTAAATAAATTATATGTTCGAAGTTAGTTACCAGATAAAGCTTTCTGTGACTGTAAATTGGACGAACTAGACCATCGTCCAGGATGTTTATAACTTCACTGTATATTTCTCTGACTGTAAATTGGACGAACTTGACCATCGTCCAGGATGTTTATAACTTCACTGTATATTTCTCTGACTGTAAATTGGACGAACTTGACCACCGTCCGGGATGTTTATAACTTCACTGTATATTTCTCTGACTGTAAATTGGACGAACTTGACCATCGTCCGGGATGTTTATAACTTAACTGTATATTTCTCTGACTGTAAATTGGACGAACTTGACCATCGTCCAGGATGTTTATAACTTAACTGTATATTTCTCTGACTGTAAATTGGACGAACTTGACCATCGTCCGAGATGTTTATAACTTAACTGTATATAGAATGTTTAGCACAAATATTCACATTATCTTTCTAAAATATGTCCATGCGCATCCAAAAATGGAAGTTAATCAGTTTATTGATGGTGGCCGCGCGTAATGGTAGAAGTAGAAGACTTTATGTCATGGCAATTTCTGCAACTTGTCGGGACACAGTCTTAAAAAAACTTGTCTATCTGTTGGGACACAAAATTGAAAATGAGAACTGTATTGTTTGACTCTTGTGGAGAATATATCGTCAAAAAAGTGTAATGCTCGTTAGAATTTTATAGTGCATATTTTTTCATAAATTCAACACATTGCTTTTGTAATGAGATTAGGTAAAGATTTGTTTTTGTGACCGATAATGCCTTCACTTCATTCCTTACATGTAGATGTCTTAATGTTGGTAATATATTACAGTTATTTTGATTTAACATGTTTGTAAATCTAACCAACAGTGGCATTTCAGGTTTATGGGCATCTTTAGAACTTTTTACCATGTAATTTATTTTACAAAAATGGTTTCCGTGCTAAGCTTTTACATTATACACAATGATGTCAAGACCAGGCTATAAAAGTGAAATCAATTAAAGTGTCCGCACTCTCAACCTGTTTAACTTTAATGTTGACTCAGAATAATATATATGCCACCTTTGATTAAAGGAGCATTTACACATGTAGCTGTCAAATTCATATTCATCGATTTGACTCAAACTCTCATTATATATATACACAAACGTATATCAAATTCACAAAAAGTTAAAAAAAAAAAAAAAGAAACAATTAGCGGACGATGCGACATGAGTTTTTCTCATTTTTCAAGGTCGGAAGGTGGCCTACAATTTCTTTTGGACTCTGGTTGAGTGTCGTCTCATTGACATTCAAAGTATTCATACCCCATCTCCTTATCTTAGTAACAATGCATGGACACGTTATTATGTATCAGTTTTTCGTGCGATAATTTAGACTAGATGCCATCTAATTACACCTTGAGATGTCCTCCGAAGACTGCCGATTGTTATATTACCTGATATAAACATAAACATAAATATAAACACACATACAAGCACGTGCAATCGTGAAATGACTATTTGTTCAGGTCTGTTTGGTTTTATGACCTAGATTAAAAATATTTAAATCATTGGTAAACCTGTTAAAGAAGGCTGTTTGATGGGCCGAATCATTCAATGAAATGATTCTTCCTGTTTCACTTTTAAATGTTGACATTTTTTTCACATGCTTTAAATTCAAGGCCGCATGCATAGGAATGCAAATGAGGTTTAATTATTGACTTGCAATCCAATAAAACATTAACGAGTTTTTTTTTTTAGCTAATATTGACCAAATTGAACCAAAATGACTGCTAATAGCGAATTATTATTTCAATATTCCGCTTTATTAATGTTTGAAACAAAATAGAATCATACTTTTTTTATCTTATGTCTATATATCGTAGCTAATATCTCTTTAAGAGAATTCGAACTTTATTTATTTTTTCTTGTAGGGATGCTCGTTTTCAGGCATGCTTTTAATTTTCTTTAAATCTTGTTTCCCTCTGTTTTTTATCTATGGAATTAAAATTTGCCAAGCAGACTGTTGTTTATTTATATATTCTTAAAAGCTTACATCGTCAATACACGTCTGGAAATATATGTTAATGCGTTTGTCATATTTGATATATTTTTCATACATTAACATTTTTCGATAGAGTTAGGTGTGTTGTGGACTATTTTATTTTTCTTTTCGTCGTTTTTCTTATGCCCTGGTGTTTTTCTTCTACTTGTGGCTTTTGATTTACTTTTTAATAATTGTATTTTTCTTTTCTATCTACTTGTGGCTTTTGGTTAGTTTTTTAATTGGTACCCCCTCCCAGTTGTAAGCATACATTAGATTAGGTAAAATAAGAACTGCGAGTGAAATCATTAGTTTGCCAGCTCGAATAAAAATACGGAGTTGTCGTAAGAATGCCAGCGAGACATCTTTCCACCAGAGTTCAAATACTCATAATAAATGTTTGAATAACACGTACTTCTATGTTGTTCCCAGTGGTTCTATCCGGGCACTCCGGCTTCCTCCACCAATCAAATCTGACCGCCACAATATATCACAATAGAGCGGAAAGTGGCGTTTAACACTAATCAATCATTGGTTAATTTGATTAAATTTCCTAACTAAAAGTTAAATATGTCTTTTTAATCGGATATTACATTTTTAGCATGCTATTTCAATAGCTCTTTTTCAATATTTAAAAATACTTACCTAAATTGTTTTAAGAATTTAATGTCATAAAATTTTAAAAATGCAGTGAAAGGCTGTAAAAGGGGAGGTAATTCCAATATCACCTGGAATGCTAGTTAATCTGAAACTTGATACCTTCAAGAGTATTTCATTACCCCACGCCAGCCTCTCTGAAGATAAAAACAGGAATGGCGATGTTCTGATAACAATTTCAAACAAACTTTCCATTCATTTTTACAGAAGAGGCAGCTACGTACTTTGACATGGGGGAAGGCCGGGAATGTGTGAACTGTGGGGCGGTATCCACACCTTTGTGGAGGAAAGATGGGACGGGGCATTATTTGTGCAACGCCTGTGGATTGTATCATAAAATGAATGGATTGAATCGCCAGCCGAATGGTAAACCGATTCAGTCTCCTAGCAGGGTAAGTTGTAATCATTTTGCACATTTTTTTTATCCATTAAATAATATATTTGATTTATAAGGGTTTAGATATTTGCATTTTCCTAGACGGTAACCTAATGTAAACAAAGAAGTCTTACATTAATGTTGCTCAATCGTTTGTTTTGATGTGTACTGCTTTGTTTACTGTTATTTGTTATTCGTCTTTTTGTATTGGGGGTCTTTTTTTATGGTTTCAGAACGCCCTTTGACATCTTCTCTACCCAAAATCAAATATACCAGAGACCATTCGATGTGTAATGCAGCCGAATCACAGAGAACAATGCAAGTTATTTGGTTTGGAGTGAAAATGTAATTTTTTTGAAATCCGATAAATTCTGGTAAAAATTACACTGTAAAAAATATTACTGTGTCCTTTTTGAAATCAGGGAACATTATATAAAGGTGTATTTAAGTCCCAGCTGAAATTTAAAAAAAAAAAATAAACAAAATATAGAATAAGTATGGCCTTATTAAATATATGTGTAAATATGCAATATAGACGAGTGTTATATAAACCTATTTGCACTGATTATGTTTAGAAAATTTTATTCTGACAAATCATTTAATCCCTTTAATAAACATGACCTGTTGGGATGACACTGCGGAATTGTACCCCCTGATGAGCCTCATATACCATGACCAGGTGCTTGGATTAACAAGTAATTTGTAAGTGTGGCATCATACATGCCATATTACTTACGACACTCCTGTGTACTCAAACTCTAGCATATGATAGTTTTTACGAACATGACAGTGCCAAAACATACCCAACAGTGCCTCTTTAACTTTCACATGGAGAGGGTTTCATGTTTCTGCATCAAGTTTTCTTCATAAATTATTCACCAGCACTACAGGACACACGTGTTGAAATTCACCGAAGATTTCGGACATTTTTAGAACTTTATTCGATATTTGATCTCAGGAATAAACAAACATATAAATACATAAATATTTATTAGTTTTACTAACTATATTTTGCGTTGCTGACAGAAAAAAAAACTTGTGTTAGTCGGTGTTTTTGTTTGGCACTCGTAACCTTTCGGACCACTCCAAAATGTTGCAGATGTATCAGTTCGGAACACAAGATTTGTCTTATTTATTTCAGGAACAAGTGGAAGAAGAAAAACCAAAGAAATTTGAGAAGAATTTTGACAAGGTATACTTTAAAATATTTATCTATTTTTATAGTCTTTTTTTTTTATCTTTATATCGTTTTTTTTCCAATTTATATTACATATCATTTTATTTATTTCTTCCTTTTTTTCCAGAATTAGATAAGTTTAAAGTTAGGAGTGGTATCACATTTGTGTCAAATATACATAATCTGTTTGGATTGCCATGTTCTGACAGTTTTGGTGCAGGTGCGGATCGAAGATTTGATGAGGGGGGGGGGGGGGGTGACGCTCCTCTGAATTAAGAATAAGAGGACCAAATTTTGATACAAAATTCCAGTAATTTTACCTTAATAACGTTTTTCTTCGTATTATTGGGATGTTTGTGTGTGTGTGTGGGGGGGGGGGGGGGGGGGGGGGGGGGGAGTGCGTCCTCACCTAAATCCTTACCTGAAATGTCTCTTGTCAAATAAGGGAATGTAAAAAACCTTTATCTACATATGCATTTTTTGTTTCGTTGGGTTTTTGTCTCATTGTTTATATCTTTTGATATGATATGGAAGACAGATATTTTAGTTAAGTTATACTTCCTTGATTTTGATGAAACAATTGTCGCCAGACGTAAGCAAACGCCATAACATTTTACATAATATATACTTCTTCGTCTGCCTATGGAAGTATTATATTGACACAATACTTCCATGGTCCGCCTAAAACCTCTCCCTTGTGTGCACGTTTAGAAATTTTTTTAATGAAATGAAAAATTGAACAGGGTTCACTTGTATTTTTAGCAGATGATAATATTTCTGTAGGTTTCATTCTCACTTCGATATTTTTGGAATTGCAAAAAACTATGTTTTTGTTTACATAACTGTAACTTGTTACTGAAAGAGGCACTTCGAATGTTGCTATACATTAAAACGTTATAATAACAACACTTCACCAAGATTGACATTATACAATAGGATGAAGTGAAAATTGCATAAAAAAGGAAGACAAGGTTATATTTTAGTGAAGGGTTTTTAAACTTGAAGCAAAACAAGTATCGCCATGGTTACCATAAAAATAAACAGAAGAGGGTTCAGACGGTAAAATAAACCCTTGATTTATTTCAATTCGTTCGGTCCCAATTTAAAATGTTCCCCATTTAAACTGAACCGCTTATGGTAACATTTTGAATAGATGATTCGTCGAAATTGTGTGTTAAGCATTTAAGAATATTGGAACACCATTAAAATTATTGAATATGAAATGGGTATTACATCTTTAGTGTATAGTTTTGAATGTATCATTTTCCTTTCGCTCTTGACAGCCGGTATGAATATAGATAAATAAATCTTAAGATAAATAATTTACCTACCTATGAAGTGTCATTTTTTATAGTTTAATGAATTAATTTACAGCAGTAACTAATTGAGAGATTGATTTATTACCCTCGTTTTTATCAATAAGCTTTTATACAATATTATCAGTGCGAAGTTTTTAAAGTTTTAACAATTTTTCATTTCAATTTGCATGAGAACTAATTTAAGTACAAGTATCAGATACCAGAGTTGTCCGGAGGTTGAAACTCCCATGTTCTTGAAAATATTTTAACATACAATTCGATCAAACATACATCATGTACATAGCCTCGAGCCCTTCCTGGGCCATTCTCCATAGCAAATTATTTATTTTATTTTATTTATCTATTTTTCAAAAAAGCGTATGTATATTTAATTTTTTTTTCTTTACTGTGACAAGTCTACTAAAAATACAAGCATGTCAGTCGTACTTTTTTATGCAATCAAATTTTCAACACGGTTTCTGTTTTAATTCATAATGAATTCATGTCGCCATCCGCCTAATTTTATACACGTTTGAGTTAGTTATTGTACGTGACAAAGAATATTCAAATTTGACTTGCTGCAGTCTGCATGTTTAGGGAATAATATTTCTCCAACCCGGCTCATGGTTTAAAAATTTAGCACAAATTGCGTCAGATATATAAAGGTCACTGAAAATGACCCTTTTAATCTATAATGCATGTATATCTAAAACTATACAAAACTGTAGCGTCGATTATCGTCGGGTATTTAGTAACTCCATCTAAATAAATCCGGGCCTGTAGGGTTCTTTCGGTGGTGGAATGTCTGGAAAGAGTTATATATCGGGTGTGTCTGTTTGTTAATCAGTATGAAAAAATCTTAGGTAAATTAACTAAAAAATCAGTTTCTTGATTTATGAATTCGCGTAGTTTGATTTAAATATTTATCATGTTAATGTAGAATTGAAAATATTGTGTGTTTTATTTTTTGAAATGAAAATTGTACAATTATACCCTTGTAAAGAAGTTTTGATTATAGTAATTTGTTCTGCTCGGCCTATCAAGTGTTTACTTAATATGCGTGTATTTGTTTTAAACTAATAAATCTTACATTAAACGAAACCGGCGATAGACACGTTTTGTATCCGGAAGTGGTCAACACTTCAATATTAAAAGAAAACTTAATGGTTTACCATGATAAATTACTAACTTCAAATAATCAAATAAGTCTCCGTTCCGCCACGGTACAAATTGTAATAATAGAACGCAAAGACTAAAACTCTTTATGTGATCGATTCACATAGATTTAAGTGCAACAAATCATTACTAATAGGGAACAGCAAGGCTCATTTGTTATTGAAATTTACAAGAGTCCATCCTCAAAAACCCGCTGTGTTGCCCTTGAATTTTAAAATAGATAAAAGGCTATATTGATAATCGTCAACCACACAGCAATAAACGACAAAAACCACCAAAAGACAATGTCACAGCATGTACATAGGTCTACACACAGTCGTCAGCAATAGACGAATATCTATACAATAGGTCAAGCTCTAAACAGCCCTGAATCTATTAAAGTTGTGAATACATCTAACAAAAACTGCCAAAACAAATGCCCATAAGTATCATAACCCCAAAATGACAAAAAAACATAAGATATGACTTAAAACAAACAAGAAATAAGAGATATGATCAGCCCTCTGTCTTTTTAATCTCGACCTGTAAGACCCTTACAACGGACGAACAAAAGGTTCATTATGGGTGAGGCGAGATCGGCTTATTTACCTTTTTTTAAATGCATTTTGGCATTCCTGAAAAAGAAAGATAACTAATGTTGTCTTCAATATGATAGAAATGATTGCACTCTTAACTTCAAACACCCGGCCATCAATATATCCACCCTTCCATCGATCAATGTATTGCGTTCTACGATTTTTTGCATACAATGATAGGCGTTAAACTAAATGATGTTAGACATCTGATAGAAGGGTGCATGATCAGGCACAGATCCAGAATTATTTTTAAATTTTTAAATGTAATAAGAATCATTGAGGACCGTCATCGGACAAACATTAAAGGCGAACATAGCAGAGGAATTCTAAAACAAAAATGTTGTAAGGAAGGTGACACCCAAACAATTGAAACCAGACGTGCAATTTAAGGTTTCTTTATGCTATACATATGTTTCTGACGACATCTGTCTATATTGTTCTATAATTAGATACAAAACATATGGTCAGTGTTTAAACAAGACGATGCATACTTTCTCATCTATCATATACTATCTGGTGAATTAACGAGTTTTGTTTAAGACTTACATTGCTTGTCAACTACCATTACACTTCTCGAAATTTTAATTTTGACGAAAAGTTATGTATCGTTTATCCTATCCCATTCTTCTCAGAAAAGCCTTGGAATTTATTTAATTTTACTATAAGAATACTACATAAATACAAACATGTAGTATGTTTATGTTGAATGCTAAGAGTCATTTCATATAACAGAAACATACAAAATAAATTGTTCAAATAGTTTTGTGATTATGACTTTTGTGGACTCCTGCTACCTACGATTCGGTCGGGGATGGGGATTGGGAGGGGGTAATATTTCCTTTGTGACCTCCTTTTATAATAATAATGGGGTATATCCACTTATAAATGTGGCTTCCTGAAACAATAGTCTTTGGGTATTTTTCCTGTTTATTGTGGAACTTGTGGATTGTTACTATGGTTAACTATGATTGTAGTAAAAAAAACATGTCTGTTAATTGTGACTTGTAAACAAAAGAACATGTCTGTTAATTGTGACTTGTAGCTGTAAGCAAAAGAACTGGTCTTTGAGTCGTTATCTGTAATTGCATTGAAAAAGAACATGTCTGTTAATTGTTACCTAAAGATGTAAGCAAGGGAACGTGCCTGTGAATGGTTACCTGAAATTTAAAAGTAAAAAACATGTCAGTCAATTTAATTGTGACCTATTGTAACAAAAAATCATGGTAACTGTAAACAAAAAAAAACATGTCAGTTGAATATGTAGCCTCCGACATGGGAAAGTTCTGTGAAATATTATCTTTTATTGTAAAACTTTTGACGAAGGAACGTTTCCGTGAATTATCACCTGAAATTATAAACAAAAGGACTTGTCAGTTAATTATGATCTTAAGCTTTAGAAAAGGGAACGTTTCTGTGAACTAAACCAATCTCAAGACGGATGAACAGCACTTTTATTGTTGTTCTGCATCTTAAAGACACAATAAGACCTCGGTCTATATTTATAAGCAGAGATATTATTATTGATAGATTTAGAGAGCTTCATCTGAATTTATTTCTTATATTAACGTAATAAAAAAAAATAAAAAGTTCAACACTTATGATAATAAAAAGAGGTTTATTTCTTGGCACTAAGCACTTTCATTTCTCCACGGACCCACATTTTACTCTGAAGTCACATACCTTTGCACATATTAAATGATGTTTGAATCACCTGTGAATAAAGCCTTCACGCCTTTACATCTTAAAACTTATTAATATATAATCACAGGGGGAATGCGGTGAATAAAATCTTGTGAAAAAAAAATCAGATTTAATAGGTTCACATGAATTACATTCTATTTATAGTGATACGCGCGTGCATTAAGTAATAAAACAAAATTTCTCATTAAATTGTATCAAAAATCTTTACGAAAGTTCTCTATGATTATTTCTATAAGTGACTCAGCTGTTTTTAAAGGTTTTTGCG